AGTTGTTAAACTTGTTATATGTGTGTTGACTATGTATATGTTGTGAAATATGATGAGATGATCTAGTTGAGAGTTGTGAAGTGCATGATGATAATGTTGCTAAGTTGTTAGATGAGAGTTGTATGTTGTATGTTGTACTATGTGTTGAAAAGATATTACTTTGTGATGGTTGAGCTATAAGTTGTGAGTTGAGTTGTTGAACTGTTGAGTTGACTGTGTTGTTTAAAGTTGAAATGAGCTGATAGTTGAGTTGATGAGATGATAACTATGTTGTTGTACTGTGATGATGAGTTGATCAGTAGGACTAAGGGAGATGTTTTCGAAGATGATCATCCCATTGTGCGAATTGAGATAGTTGTGGTGCTTTAAGAACCTAATTTGTTAAAAACCTTTCTCGAGAAGTTGTCTATTGAAGTAGATGATGTGTTGTTCTCCTCTAGGACTTAGTTGATCCTGTGTGTGGGTAAGGTCGAGGCACACATGTATGAAGCGACCATGTTATAGGGGTTAGGTCGAGCTATACTAATTATAAGCGGCCAATTCGAGTAAAGTACAAAGTCGGAAACTTAGTTCTTAACCGAGTATCGGAGGGTTGTAGTATTTGGAGGATAGTAGGTTAATCCCATAGGTGACTTAGTTGAGCTAGCTAATGTTGTGATAAGCTTAAACCCAACTGTCCTATCCTGACATAATACTATATTTACTTGTTTAAATGACAAAGTTTGAGAAACCGTTATCGTGTTGTGGATTTTTATTCAAATTTGTTGTTTACCTAACAAGCCCAAAAAGGTTTTTTCTTGTCGGTTCGGTAAGACCCAACCACTTAAACTGTTCACTCTGTATTATATAAGATCTCCGAGTTGAAATGCGTGACGACACATATGTATTGATGAGTTAAATATGTGTTGATGTGATAATAATGTGTTGTTATGTAGAAAATGTGAGTAATATAAGAATTGTTTGTTGTTTGCGTTGAATGTGATGATAATGATGATGAACCATAAATTGCTATATAGTATATAACTATATATATTATGTGTTTATTTTACCTAGCTTATCCTTGCATGTTCTCATGCGATTTGAACTGCGATAATCATATATTGTATGGGAACATGACAATAATAGGCTAGCATGTTGAAGATGGAGGCCACCTAGTGGCGGGAGCCGGAGATGTTTGTATTTCCTCTCTTTAATTTGTAATCTACTGTATTGTCTTCATGAATGATTTTAGAGTCTAACAAATAACAAATATGAATTGCTACTAATATTGATGCAGGTACATCCACATAGTTACCGAAATGAGAACCTATTTTTGCACTTCAGCTTCTCTCAAGATCCGTATATGGAGTATGATTACTGGATCAATAAGATAGGTGTTGATGGTCTCTTTACAGACTTCACTGGTAGTCTTCATCATTTTCAGGATTGGACCTCTAACCGTCAAGATGATGATTACAAAAATGAATCCAAGTTATTGCATAAAATTGCTTTATTGGTCTCCTCTTATAAATAATCTTGAGAAGTCAAATGGTATGTAAGTGTTTGGATTAATTTATTGTGTTAAAAAAGTCTTATAGCTATTTACAAGAGATCTTTTGACTAAAGTATCTAAAATTTAACCAAAATCAAACATCACTAATCAATCACAGTGAGGCAAAACCGGTATATAACCCACGCCCTCCATGTCTAAATAAAGTGAAGGTTCAATAAAAGGGGCATAAACATGAGCTTTCGTCCATGCCCTCCATGTTTAAATAAGGAGTGCGCTTATACGTGGACAAGTTTTCACCATAATGCCCAACCTACATGTCAATATTTGACCTGCCTACTTCCTGAATCTTGGAATGTTTTAGTATGGAAATGTCTGAAAAGGTTTCAACCATTCACAATGCAAGTTGTCTGTCAACAATATACTATTTTGCCATTTTAACTTTATGATACTCTTAAGCATGTTGTCAATAATTTGATTCCTGTCTATATGTATGAAAAAGACTTTGTTGACCAAGACAATTCATTTCAGTGATCTCTACATCTCAAACACAAATAGTTCCAGACTATAGGTCAGGAGATATCCTCGGCGCAAACAAAAAAAAAAGAATATGATTGATTTGTGAATCAGTTGTTTCAGGCATCTCAAACAAAAAGCACAGCCAAAAACACTAACATTAAGGGCTATTATAAGGCACCGTCCTTAATTGCCGCAGTACAAAAGGAGTTGAAATCTTGTCTCACTAATATGCTAACCGTTGAAATTTTCAAGAGAAAAGAAATGCAGAATTACCGAGAACAAAAAATATATTGAATGAGAAAGTCACACTGCTATGGATGTTCCAAATACAATTTATAAATCTTAAAGAATAACTACCCACTAACAAATGGTCCTAGGAATAAACCACAAAGAAAAACAGGGATAACAAAGTGCCTAAACTTCCCAAGTGACTCCTTAAGACTAGGAAAACAACTACAAATAAAAATAACATAATCAAAACTTGGACATGTTTCAGTCTTGAAGCATTTTCCTAACACTAACTTCACAAGAAATATCCACCACTTAAGCATTACAATTTTTGCAAGTTAAGCACATGAATACCATGGCTAAAAGGAATCGAGAGAAGTTAAGAATAAACTATAGAGAAAATGAGAAGAGTGAAAATCTCGGTCACCAAATAAAGGTTCCTCATTTATATAATAGATGTGACAATAAGCTGTAATCAAGAAAACTCTCAAGCTTGTCCCATTTTACACAGAAATTTAAGTTCAGACATCTAATATTATAAACCAATTCAGTTTATCACTTTCACATGTACTTTTGAGCTAATTTATAATTGAAATTCCATATCAGATGTGACAGACTACTACAGCAAGAGTCTAATAGATTGTAAAATAACCATTAGTAACAAGTAGCAAGTATGATGCCAGATTAATAACAACAAATCAAGTCCTCTTTGCATTGCCACATATGCATTGCAAAAGACACAATAAGTCAAGTCCTCTTTGCATTGCCACGTATGCATTGCATAAAACAGAAATTTTTTGTTACTTTAGACCCAAGCAAAACATCTCTTGATCTTCCAAAAAGTAAAACAGTGGAAGTTAATCAGAATCCATCTTCTATCAAGTTGATTCTTACACTGCGCGCCTGTAGTGCAAAACAAAAGGTCTGTAATAGATTTCAATGTGGCCATAACATTCACTCTACAGGTCTTTTAAAGAACGATACTCTAACATCTGATTCATATTTGTCCATCACAAGGGCTAAAATTTGACAGCTAAGAATTTTCACAGTAATGAATATAAAGCATCAACTCTAATACAGATATCAAACACAACACAGGAACACGACTATAAGCAAAATATATGACACTAAGACATTACATGTATGTGTGTATAATCTACATGACAAAAATCTAAATTGAGAATTAAGATTTATATATATTCACCTTGTAGAAACAAAATTGTTAATAATTTTTATATGATAAGAGATGGATCATTTCACAATGAAATCTTTTATAAAAAAATCCATGATAAAATTATGAATTATATCTCTTAAAAGTTAAATACCTAGTAGTTCTTATGAAAATGAAACTCAGAAAACAACAAAAGATGTTATGAGCTTTGCAATATTTATAGAACAAGTTGACTTTTTAATTTTTTTTTAAAGAGTGTTAGATAAGTGTTTAGCCAAGAGTAAGTGTCGGCTCACTCTTTTGACATTTGTCCAAGTTGTGTCAGATAGGTATCCAAGCCGTGTCAAAGAGGTATTCAAGCCAAAAAAATAATAAAATTGTGACACAATGAAAAAGTGTCAAATGCATGTCTAACAAGTATCATGTCTAAACATGCCTGACATGTCAATATGCCATTTTTCAGAGGAGTTTTTGCTTCATAGGTTATGATATATAACCCTTTTCTCTATAAAATTCAACTATATTCAAGGATGGTGATAGGATGGAAGAAAGTAAAACATATTACTTAACCTTAGGTCTTTCCCCACCCTTTTTTACCACACAAATAAACTTTATATTTGATTGCCTTTTCTAACTAGAGATTGTTTTGGTCTTTATAACCAATCCATTTTCACCAAGCTTTACAACATTTGACCCAAGAGATGTGTCATGTGTAAGGAAATCCACCAGAAATTTAAAACATTGTTGAATCTTCTATGATATAGACAACGCCATAAATGTGACCTTACTTGGATAAAGGGTCTATTTGTGTAAACTTATCCAGAACCCCCTTTAGAAGTTTACCTAAGCATGTCTAGAGTATCTAAGTAGGTTGAATTTTCTTAAACACCAAACAGTTTGAGTTGTTGCTTATCAAGTAACTTTGATCTTAAAAAGAAACATTTGCATTCCTTAAAGCAACATGACAATTAATCAGTGTATCAATGTTCTGCATTTACGATAAGGGCTAAAAAAAAACAATAAGAGCATGTTTTAATATACCCTTTCCATAAAATGGAATGTATAACATAGGAGGAAGGAGGTCTGCCCATGTTTAACTTAAAACTCACCACTCTAGTGAAAGGAGAAGTCCAACCACTCAACACATCAGAAAACATATGCAGAACCTAGCAAATAAATATTCAAGATAAACAAAAATTTAGATCAAAATACAGAAGTATTAAATAAAATACCAGATTGAAACAAAATATGCTTATTTTAATGACACCAAGAGATAAAGTTACAAACTTTGCACGTCCCATCACTTAGAAAAAATTTAATCAGCCGGACAGAAAGATCAGTATCTTTAGTCAAACAGTTTATAACAATATCCACTTTTTCTACTTGGGAAAGATTCACCGTTGCAGAAAACTTATAAAGATGAGAGTCTAGGAAGCTAAAAGATTGAAGCCTTGGTGTGAAAAGCTCAATAACACAGTCGGAATCAAACACATCATCCACTCTCATCCCCAAGAAACTCAAATCCACAAGATGGGGCGCGGAGATTTTGAAGCTTTTAACACTGCCATAGTACTGACAATCATGCAGACACAATCATCTGAGATTAACACAACCCCTGAAAAGATCAAGTGTCTTCTCTGCCCCACACTCGAACCAACAATCAAAAAGGTAGAATCGTTGAAGAGAAACAAAGTCAAACGTTGTGGCCTCGGTGGATATGTCGGCGAGCTTGAGGGTGGTGAGGGATTGACACAAAGAGAGTTGAGGAAGGTTGGCCACGGGGCATTCAGCGGAGATGGTGAGAAGCTGAATGGTGGGTGAGAGGGTGAGATGGTCAATGATGGAATCAACCATATGGCCATCGTCGAGTTCATCGTTGCAGGAGAAGTTGAGGGCGTAGAGGTTGGTGGAAGAGTCTCTGTGGGACATGAAGTGGTGGATGAAAGAGTGGAAGAGGAGAGGGTGGTGGAAGGAGGAAGAGTTGAAGTTGAGGACGGGGAGGGAAGTCCAAAGCTTCTTCCATCGCTTACTCAAAACGCTCGTCTGAACAGCTGAAACTGCGTCCACAAAGGAAAGCACACGGTGGATGATTTCGTCCGGTAACCTGCTTAGCCTGTCTACCTTCTTTTTCTTCCACTTACTCTCATTGCTGTTTGCCTTGGTGGTGAAGTTTGAACTTGAAGCTTTCATCTTTTTTCTTGTTAAATAAAACTTAACTATTTCTTTTGCTTTTTTTTCTTTCACTCTCATCTTTGAAATTATTTGCATTCTCTTCTTGTTTTAAAACAAACAATTTTTGTGAAGAGTTTTTGGGTCTCAAGAGACACAAATGAGTTTAAGATTTTGAGTTCAGATAAGTTACAGATGAGTTTAAATTTAAGGATTCAGATGAATTACAGATATAATATTTGTGATGAATTTTCAAGTCAAATGAGTCAGAGATGAGTTTAAGATTTAGGGTTTAGGCAAGTTATGAGTGAGTCTAGGGTTTAGGGTTTAGATGCCTCACAGGTGTAATATGTGTGATAAATCCTTAAGTCAGGTGAATCACTGATAAATTTAAAATTTAGAGTTTACATCAGTCATAAACTCATAAGGTTCAGATGGATTTTGAAAATAGGATTCACATGAGTCACATTTGAGCTTTGGAATTAGGATTCAGACAAATCACATGTGAGTTTTGAAATTTGGATTCAGATAAGTCACAGGTACGTTTTGGAATTAAGATTCAGATAAATCACATGTGAGTTTTGAAATTAAAATTCAGATAAGTCACAGGTGAATTAATATATTGTTGGTGTAAGATGTAATCAATACCATTAAATAAATTTTTCTAGAAATTCATTTCACTTATTTTTCTTTAAAATTAGACTTATCTCTGATCTTAAAACAAATTGTATAAACAATGAACCTTCAGGTTAAATATTTCAAAGGTGAGTCAATATTGTATTACTATCAGGTATAATCAATAGTATAAATTATACTAGCTACTGAAATAATATATTAATTAAAAATAATATCAAAATTCTATCAAAAATTAAATGGTCATTTTTATATTTATTAAAATTAAATAGTCAAAATTAGCCAACAATTTTAATAAATAAAAAAAAATTCTTAATTTATATTTACACTTTATTTTTAAAATATTCAGTTGAAGAAAGAGGACATAAAATACTAGAAACACCTTTTATGTTATAAATACTTTTTTTTCTATTAACTAAAAATAACACATGCTAATATTTAAATATAAGACAATATTGGAACAAGTCTTTTAAGGTTTAGTTTGCACACCTCCTTTTCTTTCTCTTACTTTTACCTAAGATTAGTTTGTGTTTTGTTGTGTTATAAGACCTAATTTTTTTTTTATTATCTTTTCTTTCAGTTCCTCCTTTGTATTGCAGTCTTCTTTGTTTTAAATATTTTTTTTTTTCATAAATGCATTTAACTTGTTCTTTTCTTTTAAATTAATTGTATCTATGATGATAAAAAAAATAAAATTTATTATGAAACTTCCTATTAAATGGTTCATGACTGAATCAAATATAATCAATGATATAAATTATACTTTTTATTGAAATAAAATGTTAATTAATTTATTTATTAAAAATTAATCAATCATTTTTATCATTTATTATAAACTGAATATAATTTATGATATTTTTACCTTTATTAAAAATTAAATAGTCAAAATCCCGCACTTAAATTTTTAAGAGAGAATAAGTAAGAAAGTAATCACATAAAGCAATGGACTGATAAATATTATATATATATACTTGTATATATATATATAATTATATTTAGTTAATATTTAAAAATACTTATGAGTAATTTAAAATAATTTAAAAATTAAAATTGAAAAAATAAAAAAATAACAATTCCTATACATTTCTCTATAGATCATTTGTTATATTACTCAATATAACATACTTAATTAAAAGAAATACTAGCAACACTTTTTTATTTGAGTAATACTTTCCTAAATATTAATTATAAATTATAAATATTAATAAATTTTATTAACATATTAAGATAGACTTGTTAAATGATATGACACTCATAAAAATTTATTATTTTTAATAAATTATAATAAATATTAAAAAATATTAAAAAATATCACTAACATTTTTTCATTTACTTTTTAAAAAAGTTTTAGTACATATTTAAATGATTGTGTGAACAGAATGGAGTTGAGGGATTTTTTCTATTGGGTTTGTGAGTCAGCTTACTTACCATGGATTTAATTCAAATAAAAATGAGTTGAATTTTTAATGAATTGGGTTAAATTTTTTCCAGAAATGAAAATGGTAATTTTTTTTATAGTCTAATTTAATTCACTTATGATAAACGAGTTGACTCAGAGGTTATAATTCATTTTGACAGTTTGATTAGCATGGACCATGTGAGTAAGAGGCCTGTGAAAGCAAGAAGCAAACCCACCACCAGGTAACCTGAAGGTCTAGAATGGAAGCTTTGTTGTTTAGGGTTGTCCTCGGTCTAAACTTGGACAAGGCCCAAACAAGACCATCGGGAACAATCCAGTAGTCGAACACAGCCACAACACAGAGAAGTCCAAGAAGAACATCAAAACTTAGAAGAACAAAATTCAGAAGACATCTTGTAGAACTCAAAGGTTTTGTGTGACTGAGACAGAAGGTTTTTTAGGCTAGTGGAAGGGGGAGAGAGAGAGACACTTTAGAAGGGCCTTGAAATTATTGTGAAAGACCATGTTTGAGCCAACACTTGTATAGATATCAACACTTGTATACATTAAGAAGGTTAGGAATAAGATTAATTTTGTAAAAAGATGAAAGAAATAAATATATTTTCTCTTTTCAAATCTTTACTCATTTTTAGTATTTTTTTTCTAAAATAATTCATATTTCAGAATTTTAAAGTTTAATTAGAATCACTAGAATTGTGCTAAAAATTAAACGGAATTATATATATATATATAACCTAAAAATTAAATATATTTGTAACAGTAACTTTTTAAAAAGTTAAATAAAAAAATGTGTCTGGAGATAAGTCCATTAAGACATTCGTTTTTCGGATCTGTCCGCTAATTTAAATAAAAGTAAAAGCAAAAGCTTTTGCATAGATAACACATGTTCTGAGAAAAGAAATTTTTTTCTGATCAAATATTTATGAGGCAGTTAATTTGAAATATTTCAGTTTATACTCGATTTGTCCACGCAAAATATCACCCGTCTTGAGAAATTTCACCGTTTTATCAAAAGAGTGGAAGTTGACACATTTACAGGAAGAAAAAAAATTGACTTAAGTGTAGAAAATTCAAGGTCATTGGTTTCTGTAAAGACTTCTGCAAGCTTCATGTGAAAACTCCATAAACGGTTAACAGAAAATAAGGGTCACAATTTACGGTCAGGCAAGTTTGATTTATTATTACTCCTTCAGTTCTTTTTTAATTTCAGATTTGTAGTAAAAAGATGTTTAATTTTTTTTTATCAATTTTAAATTTTAAGAAAATATTAAATATAATATTATAAATTATAATTTTATATTATATTTAATTTTTAATTAATTTAAAAATAATAATTAATAAATATATAATATTAAATATTAAATAAAAAATATTATATATGTAAAATAATCTTAAACAATTATTATAAATAAACAATATATTACGGATTTATGCTTATTTTCCAAGCATAACAGTACTTACACAAATAATAAATAAGATTAGTGTATTAAAGAGAGAGAACGTTTCATCCTTCTCATTTGTCATGAGTTAATATTTTTTCTTCATACATCTGTCATGAGTTAATTCAAATAACAAGTGCATTCATTGAAAAGAAAATAAAACATATATTTTTTTTCAAGTAAATTCTACTACCCTCGTCCTTAAGAGTGAGATTACTGTGTCACACCCTCCCTTTTTTATGTTAAAGTATACGAGGTTTAAATTTATTTTTGAGATAAATCTAATTTTGTCTCTCAAATTTAAATTTAATATTTTAGTCTTTCAATTTTTAAAACAAAAATCACGAATATCCGTGACAATGATAAATCGATTGAACAAAGCAACCTTAATTAATTTAATGTCATCCACATGTTTTATCTTTTAAAAATATTTGTAAATAAATTTTGAATCTTGTAAAATGTGAATTTTTTTTATTGATTTATATTAACAACATCTAAGTAAAGAGATTATTTTTTCTCTCTAAATTTTAGGAAAAAAATATCAATTTTAAATTTTAAAAAAAATTATATTCACTAACATTAACACTAATAAAATTAAAAATATATACAATTGATATATATATTTATATTTATTTAATCAGATAATTAATATTCATTTCATTATTAAACATAATGTAGTGTTTAGTATATGGGAAGTTTTTAATTTTTCACAAATTTGAAGTTAAAAATTGTTGAATTGATAAGATAAAATTAGAATCAGTTTTGAAATAGTCTTTATTTGTTAGTTAGTGTTAATTTAAATAATTCCTATTTTTTAGGATTTAGATAGTTGTTTCCTAGTTTATCTCACGTCATGTTTGTGGAACATGGGTTGCAGTTTTTCATTTTGTTACTTCTTGTAAGGCTATACAAAGTCATATCAATTTATCAAATAATTAACAAGCAATAGGAGTATTTTGTTATTCCAATACTTTGAGTGCTTAACAATTGGTACCAAAGCTCCGTGAAAGGGTCTGATGATGAATAGAGTGTTGGAGAAAATATGGCAACCAAAAGGGATTTGTGCAACAATTTCAAAGTTTGATGATCAATATTATGATCATTTGAGTATGCTCATATGGAAAATCTTTTGCAATCAAAAGAATATTGGAGTTTGATTGAAGATAAAGTACTTACAGAAGCAGAAAGAGTCCAGTCTAGTGAAGCACAAAAGAAAGCTATTGATGATGTAAGGCTGAAAGATATGAAGGCAAAAAATTATCTCTTTTAGCCTATTGATAGATCAATTTTGGAGACCATTTTGAACAAAGATACAACTAAAAGCATATAGGACTCCTTGAAGAAAAAGTATCAAGGGACAACACGAGTGCAACGAGTACAACAACAAGCACTTCGAAAGGAGTTTGAAATGTTAAACATGAAGGAGGGAGAGTCTATTAATGACTATTTTGCATGCACCCTTGCCATTATCAACAAGATACATATTAATAAGGCAAAGATAGATGATGTGGATGTTGTCTAAAAAATAT